AATTTGGGGATAGGTACCGAAAGTCTTAAATATGTCTTCACCCAGCCCTAGAATTTACGCAGTAGTTCTACTACTAGGAATTTATCCTAAGGAAATAGACATACAGATTTATGTTAAGATACTGCTACAAGTAGTTCATTAGACCAATCTTCATTATAGTAAAACATTTGAGAACTGTTTAAATTAACAATATTAAAAGATTCTAAGATAAATTAGTACCCATAGCATTCATACCCATTCCATTATTAACACATTATTAATATTATATTGTGGAAGACTAGTACCTTGGAAAATAGTCACATATTATAGAAGGAGAAATATAATATGGTATTATGTCATAATACTAAACAGCATGAAGTGATAACTAAAACTTTGTAATTGTAAAAGTTTGTAATTGTAAAAGTTTTAGTGTGGAAAGATGTGCACCAAAATATTGTAAAAGTTTTAGTATGGAAAGATGTGCACCAAAATCGTGACTACCCTCTTTTTCTATTTCTATTTTCAAATATTGCTACGGTTGAACATTTGAAATAAAAACAAAAACTCTCAAAGTCATTATAATGATACAGTGAGCCCCCTGAAATATTTCTTAGCTCAGAAAGAAATAGCGTAACAGGGTTTTCCTTTCCAAATGTGTGCCAGCTGGGAAAATCATCATGTAAGTTGTTTCACACAACATGCTTCAGTCTGAGAAGGAAGCATATCCTGAGAAGGCCCTTATGTTCCTAAGACAATGATGTTCACTCAAGGATACTTTCCTTAGTTTTTCCTTACCTGCGTGAAGCACGTTGACCTTCTGCTTAAGTAGAACTCTTTCTCAGCCAGGACCACATAAGTATATTTAAAAGGTGACAGCAGTACTTAGAATGAAACTTGGATGGATTTTTCTGAGAACATGTAATTATTATTATATAGCTAGTGTCATGTTAATGGAGTGCAAGCTTAGGAGGGATGGGATATTCTTTAGATTCGAACTTCCTATCATACAAATCACAATAATTCTGATAAGGAAGAGAGCAGAAGGATATTTAAAGAAACCAAAGGACTTTACAAGCATCTAATTTTCAGGAACCAGTTTTATCTTGCATCTTAATAGTGTTTGTAGAGACCCTGGCATAGAATTAATGCTCAATAAGTAATAACTAGATGAGCCTATATTTTAACATTGTACTACATATATAATAAAGTGGAAAGCAGTGACTATAAAAAAGAATTGGAAAGAATAGGCATAGTGTAATTGAAAATAAACTAATTTATGTTGGAAATGGAAGACTATCAAAAGAAATATTCCCACTTTTGGTGGTAGATGACATAATGTTAGCAAAAGACATGCTTCATGTAGTCTTCCCTTCATTCTTTGGAGAACACTGCTTTACATAAAGGCCTAGAAAGTATGCTTATTATTATGTGAAAAAACAAGTTTAGAGGCATGCCTTTTTGTTGAGTTGAAAAAGAAAGAGGGCCTCCCCGGTGGTGCAGTGGTTGAGCACTGGGCTACAAAACTGCCTGCAGCCTCTGCAGCACCGGTTCTGGCCACAGGCAAGGGTCCCACATGGTGCGCAGACCTCTCCTGCTGCACCCGCTGCTCCCCTCAGCATTGTACTTCATCGGTCTGCCTGTTCTGTTCCCCGCTCTGTCTCTGGTGAATCCTCTCACCCTCCCGCACTTCTGACTGTACCCAGTGCTTGTATAAATCAATAAATAAATCTTAAAAAAAAAGAAAAAGAAATTTAAAAACAAAATCTCTATAGTCTGACTTTCAAGAACCAAAGAAAAAAATAAAAATTGTCCAATTACAGTAAATTATCCACTCCAGGCAAAGATGATGGGAAAAAGCGTTTAGAAAAATTCACAAAAAAAAGGGTGTAGAGAAGTGTATATTTAATATTTAGTAAATTAAATACATTTAATTTAAACTGATGCAATGGAGATACTGAAGAAAGGCTTTTGTTGTTGAATTAATATGGATGGAGGGAAACTATGTTATGCCAAGCACATCTGTTGGGTCGGATTTATCTCTGGACATCATATTTTAAGATAGGCATCAACAAAATAGAATATGCTCAAGGAAGAGTTGACAAGACAATGACAAAGACATGAGCTGATGTTGTATGGAGAACAGTAGTGGAAGAAACTAATCTCAGGCACTCATGTGACCACCTTTGTGGTATTTCAGATACCATCATGCTGAGGTCGGTGTCAAACCCCATTTTATTCTGGGAAGCTTTTGCAATGAAAATACAAGAATACTGAAAAATGTCAAAATTGCTGTGAAAGGGATATTTGCATATATCAGTAGAATAAAAGGGGGAGAAACAAAAATTAAATTAAAAATGTAATGTAATTACAAAATGTAAGAGTTTATATTGCCATTACTCTATATTACTCTAAATATTAGTCAATCTTCTAATATATATAAGATATATATCATATATTATCTATTATATATATGTATATTGTATATATTATTATACTATATTACATTATTATTATAGATTATATATGTTATATATATATGTTATATATATATAACATATATAATCTATAATAATAATGTAATATAGTATAATAATATATATATATGTATATATATATGTTATATATATATACATATATATATATAAAGAAAGCAATCCCAAAACTTTGTGAATTAACACAGCAAGAATTTATTTCTCATATTACGTCAGCCCTGGGTCAGTAGGGATTTTGCTCCACAGTCACTCAGGGACCCAAACTGGGGGAGCGCCTGCCATCTTGTACCAGTATCATCTGGGATATGAAGCCTTATGGGTCCCGGAGGCAGAGCAGGAGACAGCTGGAAGGGTGCGTGTGGGCTCCTGAATGCTCTGCCCAGTAGTGACATGTGACCCCACTGAATGGGTAAGAATTGGAAGATTTGCATGAGTCACTACCACTTCATCAAATTTTTACTCAATGTATTAAATTGTTGGCTTAAAATATTTATGTTCTACAGATGGCTTTTGCATACAGAAATCAAGGGTTTTACTCTTGCTTAAAAATTTAGCATTAAATTTTTTGCTTAAAAATTTAGCATTAGTGGCCCGAGGGGTTAAGACGCAATCTATGAAGCTCTCTGCAGCCACTGCAGCATGAGTTGGATCCTCAGCCAGGGAGCAACCCACATGGCGAAGCAGAACTCTCCTGTCTTGTCCCCTCAGCAGTGTATTTCAGTCAATCTGCCTGTTCTGTTCCCCACTCTGTCTCTGGTGAATCCTCTCACCTTCTGCACCTCTGGCCTGTACTCCAGTTCTTGTCTGCATAAATAAATAAATATTAAAAATTAGCATTAAATTATAAAATTCAGAATCTTAATTAAACTTTAAATTCAACTTACATATTTATTATTTTCTTTGTAAATCCACATAATTTTAGTAACTACTTTTAGGGGAATTTTGAATGTGTGAGGTACTATTTATGCACTAGGTAAACTAAATTTATCCCTGTGTATGTTTTTCCTACCACCATCACTTTTATTCCCTTACCACTCTCTGTCTCTTCTCCCTCTTACTATCAGAGCCCTCAGGGTGTTCTATGATGTCCATTGTTTCTTTTAAACTTTTATGTTATATAGTCTGCTATGTAAATATCCAGTATTTTTGTCACTCTGACTACTTTGCTATACATAAGTCCCCCAAGATCCCTTGATTTTTTTTTTTTTAAAACAACTGCATTTCATCCTTTCTTATGTCTATGTAATAATACTCCTTGGTGTGGGTGTACCACATCTTGACCCAGTTATCCATCAATGGACATTCAGGTGGCTTTTATGTCCTAGCATTGTAAATAACGCTGTTGTGAGAATTATGAAACAAAAAAAGAAAAATAAATAAACCACAACAAAAAGAGAATTGTGGAACATATGGGATTTTGTGTTGATGATTTCTTTTTGAAATATTGGACCCATAATCATAATGTAGTGTCAATCTCTCTCTCTCTCAGACTCCGGAGTCTATTATATTGGATATAAGTACAGTTGTTCCTGAGGTTTATTTTTTTTTTTGGGGGGGGGTTGCCATTTGCTTGTATAACTGTCATCCAACCTTTAAGTCTGTGCTTGTCTTTGTTGGTCAGGTGGGTTTCTTGTAAACAACAGATGACTGGAATTTGTTTTGAAATCCCTTCCCCAGTCTAATTTTTCAACTAGTGAATACAGGCCCTTTAGTTTAAGGTGATTATTGAGACATCAGTGCTGTTTGCCATTTTCTTATGTTATTATTTTTTGGTATGTGTAGGGTAAGGAAAAATGTCAGGCTTTTCTGCCCTCCCGCCATCAAGTTAGATGATGGATCCTTGTGGTCCTGAATGCATGCCTGATGGCCGGAACCTGGAATAGGGTGTGGGCCTCAGTAGATGGGATTCACCTGAGCTAAGACTGGGCTTTTAAGGGCGGCATCACGGGGACACCAGCAGAAGCCAAAAGAGAAGCCGAGAGAGAAGTAGTAGAAGCCGAGAGAGAAGCAAGAGAAGCAGAAGCTGAGAGGCCGGAGAGCCCAGATAGAGTGAAGACTTGCGGGGGGCTGGGAGGCCTGCCAGCCTCCTGGCCCCTCAGCACCCCTGCCTGCTGTGTACCAGGCAAATCCCAATAAAAGACCTGCAAAAACCACTGAGGACTGATTCCTCCTTTACCCGGTCTGCTGAATCATAGGAAACCTGCACTGTGTCCATTCCTGTCCTGCCACTACAGTATGTCTTGTATTTTTTTGTTTTTGGAGGGCTTCCTGTTTTGTTTCAAGTTCCATTTCCATTGTCTTGTGTGTTATGAACTATTGTTTGAAGGCTTTTATAAGTTAGCTCATGGTGAGCTATTTGTGTGACCCATTCAATGGTCTGGTCTCTGACTGGTTCTGATGGGCCTTCTCTGTATTAAATGGTTTAGGTGTCTGTTGCCTGGATACCTCTGTTGGTCTGCTGCTTTATAATAATCCACTTTAGAATTTTTCATGTGCAGCTTTGTGGTGGTAAATTCTTTGAGATTTTATTTTTCCACGAAGCTCCTCACTCTGCTTTTTCTCTGGAATGTTAATCTTTTAAAGGGTTCTGGGCTACAAGTCTCTTTCTTTAAGCATGTCAAACATCTCCTTCCTAACAGTCTGATTGGTGTTCCCGTATAGGTTACTGTAGGGTAAAAGTTAATCAGGCTTTATATGCCACTAGCCTCTATGGCTATCAACTGTGGCCTTGACTGTGTTAATGCAGAAGGCGCTTAAGTCACGCATACCTGATGGTGGACATCTGCGCCTCGTAAGTGGGCATACCTGAGCCTAAAGGCCAGCGATGTAAGGCCAGCGATGTAAGGGCCAGCCTAAAGGCCAGCGATGTACTCAGAAACAGACAACCCCTGCAAGAGGACGAGTGTTGTGACTACAGAGGAGGTGAGACTATGAGAGGACTAGAGAGAATGCCAGAGAGAGCCCAGAGAAATTGGGGGTGGGGGGGTCTCCCAGAGCCTCAGTTGCATCCCAGCCCCCCGCTTGCATGTTTGTTCTACAGTTATCTCTTCTGCTCTTGATGCTTTTAATATTCTGGTCTTGTCGTTACTCTTCAACAGCTTTATTATAATGTGTCCTGATGTGTGTCTGGTATTTTTTGTTTAGAACTCTTTGGGTCTCTTGGATCACAATGTCTGGTTCTTTTCCCTGATTGACATGATTTTCAAAAATTATTTCTTTAGATAAATTTTTTAAACCTTTCTGTCTCTTCTGAGACCTCTATGATATGGATATTATTTCTCTGTAAGTTGTCCCAAGGGGCTCTGATACTATCTTCATTTTTTTCAAATTCTTTTTCCTCCATGTTTTATTTGTGTGTTCTCCACCATTGTGTTTTGAGCTCATTAATTCTCTCCATTATGGATGTTTGTCTGCTGTTGTGCTATCCTCAGTTGTACTTTTTTTTTTTAGATTTATTTATTCATACAAGAACTGGGGTACAGTCAGAGGCACGGGAGGGTGAGAGGATTCACCAGAGACAGAGCGGGGGAGCAGAACAGGCAGATGGACCAAAGAGACTGCTGAAGGGAGCAGCGGGCGAGACAGGAGAGGTCTACCGCGCCATGTGGGTTTCTCCCCTGGCCGGCTGGGAATTGAACCTGCGCTGCAGAGGCTGCTGACAGCTTCACAGCACTGCGCTCAACCCACTGCACCACCGGGGAGGCCCCCTCAGTTGTACTTTTTAAATAAGCCTTAGTGTTTCTTAGCTCTGCTATCTCTAATTGTAGATGCCCCATATTTTCCGTATCTTTATTCTCTTCTTTTATATCCTTTTTTTTTTTTTTTTGAGTTCTATGTTAGCACTATTATCTTGAACTTCTCTTTCTGCTTCTTCCATGTTCTGCAGCATTGGGGTTCCTCTCAGGTCTTTTTGCTCTGTTGTGTTCCTCTGTCTCCTCATGTTTAATTTTTATGTTCTGCAATTTTGCAATAGGGATAGATTTTCAGATTGTTGTCTCTGCAACTGAAGTAATCTGAGGACTGGTACTGACAAGAGGTAATAGGATAGAAGAAGCCTGGGGCAGTGGGGCACAGAAGGACCACAGGCAGTAAGCACAGGAATTCAAACTTCCTAATGCCTTGTGGGTGCCAAAGTTGTGTGATGGGGAGCACAGTGACCCCTCCTTTAGGTAACTCCTCAATCTTAGTGTCTCTTACAGTCTTGCATCCACTTCCACTCTAGGATATTTTTAAGCACTAGTTGTAGCATTGGGCATGGATTGTACTTGATATAGGGTGATGGGCTGAGAGTTTTTATTCTTTCCTCTTTCCAGTACAGAAACGTGTCCCTGGGTGTTTCGCTCCTGTTGTTGATAGGTGCTGAGCTCTAGTTTGTTCAGGGATTCCTTTGTTTTGTTTTTGGCCCTAGCATGGGGGTGGCAGGTGTTTTGAACATCTTAGGCTCACCTTCAAGTAGTAGCTTCATCTCTGACCTGCTTATCCCTGCCAATTCAGGCTCCAGCTGTTCTGTGTTGAGAACCTCAGAACACTTACATCAGTGGTCTTTGCTCAGCACCCCACCTCTGCAGCTCTTCAACAGTACATTCTCTGTTCTAAGTGCCAACTCAAGCACCTCCTTATTCAGGGCGGTGGGGGGGTGTAGGGGAAGGAAGACCACAGTGTAGGTTTTCTGATCCAGCAGACCGAGTAAAGGAGGAGTCAGAGTCCTCAGTGGTTTTGCAGGTTTTTGTTGGGATTACCAGGTACACAGCAGGCAGGAGTGCTGGGGGGCCGGGAGGCTGGCAGGCCTCCCAGGCCCCAGCAGATCTTCACTCTGGGCTCTCTGGCCTTCTCTCAGCTTCTGCTTCTCTTGCTTCTCTCAGCTTCTGTTTGTTCTTGGCTTCTGCTGGCATTCCCATGACGCCGACCTTAAAAGCGCAGTCTCAGCCCAGGTGAATCCCATCTACCTATGCCCACATTCTATTCTAGGTGCCCGCCATCAGGCATGCATTCAGGACCGCAAGGATCCATCATCCAACCTGATGGTGGGAGGGCAGAAAAGCCTGACATTTTTCCTTACCCTACAGGGATTGTCAGGAGTCCCTGATGTTGGCACATCCCTGAGTCACAACCTTAGGGGGCTCTGCAGAACAGCCCCTCCTCCTCCCTCTTTGGGTTGTATTGCCCTGTTACTGTAAACCGAGTTCACCCGAAGTGTTTGGTCCCCCTTAGCACTGGTCTGTTGCTCCTACTGTGTGCTGTGGTCATCCGTTTTTCCCTCAGGGTTTTTTTGTTTTTTTTTGTTTTTTTTTTTTCACTTTGTTTTAGGTCAATCTAATAGTGTCGGGGGAAAGAGAATCTTGTGTCTTAATTCTGCTACCTTGCAGAACCTTAAATTTTTAATTTTTAAATTTTAAATTGCTTTATTCTCAGCTTAAAGAATAATATCTAAGAAGGCATGAATTTGACCTGATATTAAATGTCCCTTCATACATGTTAAAATCAATGACTTTTAGAAAAACAAGTTCATCTATGTACCGCCTAAAATCATTTCACATAGTACAAAATGTGACACCTCTAGAGAGAGACTTGCCAGTTGAGTTGGGCGCATTCAATTGCATTAGAGGGAAGAAAGGAACAAGGCATATATGGGAGGAACAACAAAGAGTCTGTATAAAGCTATACACAGATTAGAATAAAAGAGCTATACACAGATTAATCCTCAGACTGGAATAATTTAGAAACATTAAATCTGATTTGGAAACATTGAATAAGAAGGAAATGCATAAGAATTTAAGCCATGGAAGATTAATAATAGCAATAAATGCAGCATTAACAGTGAGTTCTAAAATTTGTGTTTTGACCTTTTTATAATTTGTATTAGTAATTGAACAAGCTGAGTAGCTGAAGAAGTAATGCTAATTCACTTAAATTGTTTGGATAATAACAATCACTGGTATTTTTTATCACCTGCTATGTTAAATTCTTTCCCTGGTCATCTCACACTTCCCAACAGCTTTACATTAGATTTTATTAACATCCCCATTGTATAGATGAGAAATCTGAGTCTTACTTACAGTAAGATAATTGTCAGAGGGCCTCCCTGGTGGCGCAGCGGTTGAGCGCTGGGTTGCGAAGCTGCCCGCAGCCTCTGCAGCGCCGGTTCAATCCCCGGCTGCTCCCCGGCCACCGGAGGAGGGTCCCACATGGCGCGCAGACCTCTCCTGCCGCCCGCTGCTCCCCTCAGCAGTGTACTTCGGTCCTTCTGCCTGCTCTGCTCCCCGCTCTGGCTCTGGTGAATTCTCTCGCCCTCCCGCGCTTCTGACTGTGCCCAGTGCATGTGTAAACAGAACAAACAAATAAATAAATAAATAAACATGCCTCTATTTAAAAAAAAAAATTAAAAAAAAAAAAGATAATTGTCAGACTCGCTGAGCTAAAACTGAAACCCAGGTTTTCCTCAAAAGCAACTCTGGCTTTTCAGCTTGTTGTGGAGGCTCTCATTTTGATTTTTCCTTTTTTTCCCGTCTCTTATTATCTTTCTTAGAAGTAGTAAAAGTGCAAAACAATAATAGTTGCAAGTTTAGAGAGTCTTCAATTGGGGCAGGTGGTCGGAATCGGTAAGATCATCCCATTTAATTTAGGATTGTTAGATTTTTCGAGTAGGTATTCTGTTTTATTCATGGTCTTTCATATTTTTGTCTACTTTTTTTTTTTTCTTTAACTTTTTTTTTCATGCCCAAAGGCCAGAATCAACAACATCAAAAGTCAAACAAAAACCTTGAGCTTCCCTGAGGACACACATGGGGGATTTGGGAATGTCAGCTGTACAAATATGACGCCATTTTTAGACAAACTATCTGGAAAGTGGGGGGGGGGGTGGCCAGCCCCTGTGTATTGCATGCAGATGTCATGTAGTCATGCCTCTAGCCAGCTTTATTATCTGACAGATACGGAGCACAAATATTGACTTTTGCTATTTTTACTGTAACTGCAGTCATAAACATTGATTACTGCAGGAGGGAGTAGACAGAAGAAAGCAGCAGTGTCTTTGCAGCCCAGGAGAGCTTATGTCTTTACCTCAGGACAGAAAGGAGTCGGATATGAATAAGGTCCTCATGGAATGATTCAATACAGAAATAATAAAATGGTGATGATGTGAAAGATCCCACAGGTTTGACAAACATGGAAAAAAGAAACCTATTGATTCTGCATGTCATCTGTGTTCATTTAGCCCAAGCAAATTCTGAATGTAGGAAGAAGAGACACTCAAGTGAACTTAGCCTCCCTCCCATGGTGCACACTGTCATCTAGCAGCCATTTTGTGTATTCTGATGGCAGCACGCAATAATTGATAACTATATTTTCCAATTTTATTCTATCCACATCGCAGTATAGCTTAGTGCAGGAAATAGTGTTTTGCTCGTTCTTCATAGGAAATGAACGCCTCCCTCTTTTAGTGGTGTTCTGTTCACTTGGCAAATGAAAAAAGCAAGAGGCTTTTCCTACCTAATGCTTTTTATTTTTGATTTTTAGATCCACATTTTAAAATGTTGCCAGTCTAGAGTAACCCTTACTTCTGGTTCAGTTATATCTAATGTGTTCTGCAAGAACTCAGGCAACCAGCAAGATCATAGTGCACATTAAAGACATTAACGGTGTGCTGCAGAGATGGGCAGCCCTAAACCTGAGGGGGGTCCACAGGGCGGCTGGATTCCACATGCGAGAAAAGGGAACTTGGCAATTCAGGCCCTCAAATGCTTGGCAGAGTTCAAGGCTGCAGAGTCTCCATTTGAGGTGCAGTTTATATCAGCATATCACCCTAAACCCAGAACATCAGCCGAGAGGCAATGGATCTGCACCTTTTTGGAGAAGGGAGTGGAATGAAACCAGCTGAATTTCTTTGAGGGGTCAAAAATCATTCTAATACATGCAGAGGAACA